CCTGGGCGTCCGAGTCGGCGCTGCCTCTCGGTGGGAGACGCTGGCGCCCGGGAGCTGTGGGGGAGGAGGAGCGGCGGGCGCCCAGGGCTCCGCGGCCGCGCAGCGAACAAAGGGCCAGATGTTTAACCCCGAGACCTCGGAGTCCTCACCTGAGCCTCCCCTGGACGCGCGTCTCCCGGGAAGGACTGAACGGTGGCGGCCACTCTGCTCTTGAGCGCGCGGGCAGGTCGCGGCGTTTGTTGCATTGGTGGGGTCAGTGCGACGAGCCGGACCGCAGGGGTCTGGCGTCTGTCAAAGCTGCGTGCTTCAGGCCGACTTGGGGTTGTCCGCGGTGGGTTGGCATCTGCTGCCCACTGGGCCCAGAGGTAGTACCCTTGGCAAGCTCGGTTGACAGCCCCTCAACCTTTCTCTTCTTAACATCCGCATACCAGTTTCTTTTAATTCTCCAAGTGATGACTTTATTCTGTAAGAGAGATCTCGTTAGTATTTTTCTCTTTTTTCTTTTTCTTTCTTCCTTTTTTTTTTTGGAGGAAAGAGAAAATTTGTTTTCTGCAACTCAGATTGGATTATGATGCCTTATTTAACTTGTTTTTGTCAGTGACACATAGGATTCAGCTTTTTTTTTTTTAGGTAAATTGAATACTTAGGAAAGGTGCTGGTTTGACAAGGTTAGAATTCAAAGTCCATTGGTAGTACAGCATTCCTTTTGTAGAGGGACCACTTCTAAATGTGGGAGATAAATCATGCTTCCCTGGCCAGCTCAACTCTTGGCCTCGCAGAGACTGCCAAGAAGAGGAGGCTAGTGCCAAATGTGGCAGCAGTCTTGATTTGGTTGTGTATCTTCTTACTTGTAACTGAAGTGGAACTTCTCCTGTTTCACGTAACACCTGAGGATGCCTGAAGAAACTTAGTTTTACTTTGGAAAGTTTTGTCTTAACTTTATTTAACCCACGTTTAAGCAGTAGATTTTTAACTTTTACTTCACTGTAATGCAAATGGTAACTTTAAATATTTAATACAGTGCAGCCAGTATTCTGCATTAGTCTTGTGAATGACTTGCTTTTCATCATCACTTATCTCACCACTTTTCTCCATAGACAGTACAGGTGTCTTGTGCACACCTATGTATAAGGTACTGTGCATCTAAGCACTTGGGTTGCAGCAAAAAAGACAGACATATTGCCAAGTCTTACTTGTTTATATTTTTTGGACAAGAACAACATTAAACAAGCATTTAAATAGTTGTTTTAATGCAGTTTTATCTTGTGCTGCAGAGAAGAGAAGATTAGAATTAGGGTTAGGAGAGCATGTAACAGGAGAGCCTCATCTTCTCTGGGGAGTTAGTGTAATGGGGAGAGGAAATTATTCCAGATAGAGGGAGCATGATCTGTGAAGGCTTGGAGGCCCCAAGGAACAGGGTAAGGATTTGAAAGGAGACCTCTATGGCCAGAGCAGCCAGAGAGGGAGGATGGCCCTAGATCATGCAGTCCTCCTAGGTACTGTAAGGAGGTCAGACATGTTTAGGACAATAGGGAGCCATTGCAGGGTTTTAAGTAGGAGAGTGAAACAAGATTTGAATTTTTAAAAGTTTACCTACTGCATTGTGGGAAGTGGAGATGAGGGGGCAGAGGTAAAGAGCAGTTAGGAGGCCATTGTGAGAATAACCATTATGCTCTTGTGCTTTGGAATTTGTAGTGATTGTGAAAGTTGAAGTGAGTGGATCCTGGTAGCTTGGAATTGATTAAAGAAGTCTGGTTGTATTTAGACAAGAAGTTAACTGAAACTTTGCTCATGTGTCAGACTTAGGTGGCAGTGTGTGCAGTAAGTTCTTTTTAGGTTCTTTGCAAGAATAATTGGCTATGTATTTACTATATTTAGGAAAAACAGCTGGTAGTTAAGCCATATGATTAAAAAGTTAAAAAATTAAGGCCTGTAATTTCCTAAGGACATCTAGGTGCAGTACAGATATAGTTGATTAATCTTGTCATCTGTTTAAAATAATCATAATAAAAGCTAACATTTATCGGGTGCTCATTACTTGCCAGGCACTGCTCTAGGACTTCTCCACGTATCAGCTTACTTAATCCTTACAAAACTCCTATGATATAAATGCTGTAATTAATTCCATTTTGCAGTGGAAGAAACTGAGGCACAGAGAGGTTATGGTAACTTGCCTAAGTTGGTAGGTGGCAAAGCCAAGGTGTGAACCAGTTAGCTTCAGCAAGTACATTCTTAACCAATAGGCCATTTGTCTCAAGACAGGATATGGGCAAGTAACGTATTACCAAATTTCCAGTGGAGAAACTGAGGCACACGCTTAGTGCAGCATCCGAGTTGCAGTCACACTCTGAGTAGGAGTGGATCTTCAAGTAGTAGTTAAAATACCCATCTCCCGCCAAGTGGCCAGGCCTCACTGTTTTTGTAGAGTCTGCCAAGTGCACATCAGATAATAGATGCTTGATCCCTGCCGGCGACTCTTCTAATACCAGGGGCCCAAAGCAGAGAAACTCCATGTGGTTTTTGGCATCATACCCCCTGCTTGCTAAATAACCCAAAGCTTAAACTGTATGTGTTTTTGTCTGTACATAATCATGTTTGTGCTATAACAGAGTTTTTTATAATTGTTTTGCTGTTTTAGATTTTTCTTATTTATACAAACTGTGTTCATCAAAAAGGAGTGCATTAAACGATTTTTTTCAAAAGCCAGTGTATATAGCTTGCTCCTTAATTTGTCAGTGTTCAGGTGCTAAAAATGGAGTGAGCTGATTAAATAAGTTAGGAACCTAATTATTTATACTCATTCTTAGAAGTTTGGTGTTTTAAGGGATTTTTACTTTGAAAACTGTATGCTACCCAATGGAATCATATGCTTATTGTATATAAAATGTCATGGTTTAGTTAAAAAGTCTGAGCTAAGATGTGGAAGTTCTGGAATGTATTAGCTACGTGGCCTTCTAAAATCATTTAGTCTCTCAGAACTGTTTTGTTGTGCAGTATTATTACCCTCATTATGTCCTTCTGTTTATGGTGTTAAATAAATGACTGGAGTTTTACTCAACAAATAAGTTTTAATTTTTTTGAGTCCAGAAAATGCAGATATACATTTCCTCTGCACCATCTTAAAGCACATGAAAATATAGTTTAAAAAGAAAAATCAATCTTACTTTTAAATGTAACTCTGGGCTTCATCTGTCAGATGAGGTATCTATAGCAGGGGCTACCTAGGGACCTGGGAGTTGACACCTAGGAAGAGCTCTATGGTTGGGCCTCAGGGGCCCATGAAACCCTCTGAAATTAATGGCTTAGTGTTGTATATGTGTTTTTCTGAAGAGATGGCTTATGATATTCATTACATTTACAAAGAGATCCATGACCCCCCCCCCAAATAATGAATAATCTATAGGTTTGTCATTTGAAAGAGATTTCTGGAGAAGTGATATACCGTATCACTTTACCAACATTTACCAGCATCGCGTGCATTGTGCTGTTTTTTCTCTGGCAGTTTTCTAGTTTACTTTGTATTATTCCCACCCTTACAGTCTTTATGTCTGGATGGGTTTCTAGATTTATTCCTAAAGAGAAGAAGATACTAAAGCTGGAGGTAGGGTAAGGCAAGGTTGTTTTGAGGGATTGGTCTAAATGTGTTTCTAAGGGAGTATGTCATCTACTCTGGTGGCTTTAGCCTGGCTCCTATGAACTACACCCAGATGTCTCCAGCTTGTGCTTCACCTTGAGTTCTAGCGCGTTGTCTCCAGCTGACCTCTTCACAGACTACATCGTCCTCCAGAGGGATTCCTTTCCTCATGACCCACTTTCGTTGAATGCCCCAATATTGACTGTTTACTGAGGGTTAAGGCCTTGGAATCATCTTTTATTTGTGGGCTTGACTTCGTAGGTTTTACAGAGTGTGACCAGGATGTTCCAGGGAAAGCAGTTCTAGGGTGTATTAGACTCAGAAGTCCTATGGTAAAGAAACCTGGTAAACTTTGCTTAACCCGGTAAACTTCACACTTAATGGACAATGGGATTCTTTTTCTCTGTAATACCAATTGCTTGTCCTTAGAACTAGTGCCTGTAGAACATGCTTTGGAAATGTTGGTATTGATTTTATCTACATGTGTTTGGAAGCCATTCCCTCTGAAGCAGATGCTGTGATGTGGCTAAGCTCCAAGGTAGCATTCACATGGTAGTCTGTATAAACAGACTTGGAGTCTCTTGAAAGCTGACAGGAGGAATATTGGAGATTGGACAGAGAAATCAGGAAATTAATTTGTATGTTCAAATATTTAGTGAGTTATATGTTGGCTTTTTTGAAGCTCTGCATCTTTCAGAGTGTTCTGATTAATGTCATCAAACACTAATTCTTTCATTATGGTCAGGATTTATAAGAACGTTTCTGGAAAACTCAGTTCTGAAACCTCACCTCTTAGACAGGACATGAAGACCTTAAGCGTTTAGAAAAGAAAAACTGAAGAAAAATGAAACGTGGATCTATCTGGGGTTATGCTCATTTTTACTTTCATGGAGGACAAAGTCTAGAGGGACCAGAGGAAATGGTCCTAGACTTCAGAGAGATTGTTTGAATATTTAAGGAAAATTAAGGTAGATTTTTCGAGCATCAGTAATTGTTTGAGATGGAAAGTGACCGTGGAACAGTTGTGGGATAGTTTCTCTGGAGAGCTTTAAAAAACAAGCAGGTTATCTGACTTTGATATGTATCTGATTCCCTAAAGAAGGTACTTACCTCCAAGATTGGATTTGTATATATATTTACTTGTGAAAGAACATCTAATTATTTTATATTGAGAATGAATAGTTAGTATTCTCTCATGAGAGTCCATTGAACATCCATCCTATGCTGAATAGCTGTAATGTGAAAGGAAAGGTTCCAGGGACTGTGCGAGGAGTAGCAATGACAAGACATGGCACTTTATTTATAGAGACATAAAATGTGAACCTGCTTTTAGCTGTCATAGTCTGAGATCAAAACCTTGTTGATTTCCTCTTTTCTGGCACATTAAATCTCTTAACTGGCTGAGAGATGGTTTTGACACTCCATAGTGTGGACAGCTGACTTCTCTGTAGCACAACATAGTGATTTAGGAGCCGGGATCTGGAGTCAAACTGCCTAGTTTCACCACCCACTAGCTAGTTACTTAATGCTTCTCTCTGTGCCTCAGTTTCCTCAGTTGTAAAATGGAGATGCTCAGGAAAGTGCCTGTCGCATGGTACTCAGTAATTGTTAATTGCTGTCAGTAGTAGTATTTATTACTATATGTTTCTCCTGCAGCTGGCCTCCTAACCTACTCTGCTCTTCAAACACTTCATCCTCAGTGTTTTTGCACTTGCGGTCTGTGCTTGAAAATTCCCCTGTCCCAATATCTGTATGGTTTGCATCTTCATTTCTCTCAGGTCTCAAGTGTCACCATTTAACGCCCCTGTTCTTATTGTCCTATAAAAAACAGCTCCTCCCCCTTTTGTCTTTACCAAGGATGGATCCAGATTTTGTCAGGCCTGAACTTTATAAAGTAATTTGGGGGCCCTCATTAAGAAAACAAATAAATCAGAATAAAAATTTTGGTGTGAAAATGAATATTTAGTTAGAATGAGAAAAGATGTCCCAACAAGATGTTGTAACCTTAGAGTCAGATCCCTTTCTTGTGAGTTTTCTTTAGGCATTTAATCAAAAAAGCTGTCATAAAATGCTTCCTGATAGCAACCTAGTTTCTCTTCCCCACCTA